ACGCCCTCCGCAAGCAGCATGTTGTCCAGGCGCATCAGCTGCGGGTCTGTGGGCTCCTCTTCCTGGGCCCCCCGGATGCTCAAAACTGCAGGGAGACACAGGAGGGAAGCGTGTTAATAGGGACCCGCTGGAGAAAGTCAAACTAGAGAAAAGCAATTGTGTCCTCTGGCTCCGTAAGTCCCCAAATTCCTTGCGACGTGGCGTCTGAGGGACAGGCCAGGGGCCGGGGAACAGGAAGAGGGGACGGAGCACGAGGAGAGGTTGGATTCAACACGGATCACGCCCCACTCCGCCAGGTCCCTGGAACCGTCAGTTCACGGGGGCAGGGGACAGATGAGCGGTACCGGGGGACGGGGCTGGCATCCCCTGGGGACACAGGGTCATCTGGAGAGACGAAGAGACCTTGAGACGCTGGTGGCGATGGCCGCGCACAGTGTGAACGCACTTAATGCCACCGAACCGCACCCTTCCAGACAGTTCGGAGTCCATCTGTTGCATGTTTCACCGCAATAAAGAAATTCCGCAGTGGAAATTCCAGAAGTACAAACATCAACGGTAACAGAACGCAATGTTTGCTTTCACCCCCAAACTGCCAAAGCTGAATTCACGGAAAAGCACCTCCTTCTTCGCGTCTCAGTTTAGATCTGTCTTTACGATCTAAAGACTTCGTGACCGTTGCCGAGACCCGACACTGACCAGTCTCATGATGACTCCTGGGCTCGACGACGCGGCCAAGAGAAAAGAGCAAGGTCGTCTCGATGGTGAGGACGTCCCCTACCAGGCCCCCCGGAGAGGTGTCCCCGCCCCTCAGACGCCACCAGCGCCCGGCAGCGCCCCTCACCCTGACAGCCCCTCCCTCCGCCAGCCAACCAGCTACGGGTGCAGGAGGAGAGGCAAAGAGCCAGGCGCCCGGTGACCAAGGTGCTGGCCCCCGTTCCTCTGGGACGGGGCAGGTGACCTCGGACATGCCGAGGCCACCACCCCCACGCGCCCAGCATTCACCCCGTGGACGTCCCCTCTCAGCTTCTCCCTCACCCCACTTCCCCTTTCAAACGGCCAGTGGGAAGCATGAAGCACCCACACCAGCCCTGCGCACCTACACGTCAAACTGGCTTTAAATAGAATGAGGAAGGGCGTTTCTGAGGCTGGGCAACGCTGACTGGATGCCCCGCGAGCCCTGCCCCACTGGGTTTTGGGGCTCACGGGGCGTAAAGCCCTCGTCTATGTTGCCTCTTTTTACCCTCAGGTATGAAGGATCCATTTAATTGAGGGCAAAAAAGAAAAGAAAAAACATAGCAAAAGTGATAGCATTTCATTTAGATTTTATCATTTTATAAATCCTACGAACATTTTGTAAAAAGAAAAATTAGGATCAACTAAAATTTAATATAATTGGTTTCTAACTGTGGACAGTAAGAGACAGGAATGATAAAAACACCATGTACCTTACCCTAAATGTTGCTTACTCAAATTATTATGAAAATAAGAAATTTCAGAGTATGTATCTGAACCAAGACAAAAAAATCGTACATATAGAGAGACAGCTTCAGCTTGCACTTTTACACAGAAGGTTCCGGTTCTCATGGTCTGGGGCGGAGCGCGTGGGCACACGGGGGCGCGGGCGGGCCCAGCACGGCGCTGCACGCACACACCTGCACCCCGCCGTAAAGGCAGGCGTGGGACTCGGACACGGAGACTGTTCTGCTGGTCGGTTAGGAAAAATCCCCCCGACATTCAGTAAATGAACGCAAAGGGCGACATGTCTGAGCAGAGCTGAGGCCGCCTATGCACTCACTGCTGGAAGGCAGCGGGCCGGTGGGTAGGAGACAAAATGATTATTTAAAAGCTCCTTTTTATCTCTGCGGCGCCATGCAAGACTCAAATGAGCCTTTCTCCGGGACACCGGACATGTAACACTCATCCCCCAAGATCCAATTTCACCCAGCGGAGCTGTTACCTAATCCACGAGCCATCACATCTGATCAGGATCCCGTGTCCCTGACGGCCCCCCGCCCCCCGCCTCCGGGCTCCCCGGCCCCACAGCCTGTGCAGACGCAGGCTGTCAAGGCCCAGGCGCCTGTCCGAGCCAGCGCAGAGGCCTTCGGCAGTCACGTCTGCACACTTCCCCCAGCTAACGTGTTGTCCCTGTCCACGGAGGGGTCCCCGGGCATGAGATTTAGCACTTTTGGTGATAATTTTTAAAGGAGGAGTCTCACAAATCTCCCCCCTCCTGTAGAGACGGAGACCCGTCAAGGCAGGTAAGCGATTTCTATAGAAATTGTCACACGCCCTTTAAGAAGCATCTGATGTCACCTCCACCCTGCTGCCATCGCTGGCCCTGGAGTTAATTCTTTGGTAGAACTCTCAAGATAAGTGGGCTGTCACAGCACGGATGGAGCAGCTCTCACGCCGACCTCCCGCTGCTCTTTATTTTTCCTCACACAAGGAGAAAAGCACTCCAAACCCAAAGGCACGTTCAAGGTCCTCGGCAGGAGAGCTGGTGCCCGAGGTTTTGTCCTTGCCTGAGCCTGACAGGGGTCGGGAGCAGCCCCGACAAGGCCCACTAGAGGGCACTGTTTCTTCACTGAGGACGGGTGGGCTGGGAGCCCCGCCTGGATTCACTCCCACAGGTGGGGCAGGCGGCGGGGCGGAGGCCAGCCTGGCAGAGAGGGGTGTCCAGATGTGGACAGCAGTCCAGGGACCCAATGCTGGGTGGACAGAAAGAGATGACGCAGACAGACAGACAGGTGTTCTGGAGAGGGAGTGGGTGGTCGTGCCCTCCCACTGGCCAATCTCTGCTCGATGTGAAGGCGCATGGCTTCACCTCCACTCAGGTGTCCCACTGCCCACGAGCTAGTCTTTGTGACACACGGCCAAGTGAGCTGGAAGGTGGAGCTCTCCTGGCCTCACCCCCAAGACTGCTCTGCCGTGTCTCCCCATCGTCAGAACTTAGGGCAGAAGTCCAGGACAGAAATACAGTGCCCTTGCCCCCTGAAATGTCAGTTCCTCCTTTGATTCACTCACAGAAGACCCGCACACACTGAGTTGCATCACACTCCAAACGCCCCTCGCAGACAATGGCAGATTCTGGAGGCAAAGCGAAGGGGCCATGGCCAAGGCCAGACACTCCATCCTCGATGACGGCACGAAGGCTCCGACTCACCAGCGGAAGCTCTGAGCGGGTGAAATCAGCTTTGAGTGTGAACGCACACACGCGACCGGATCAAAGTTATCAGCTTGCGGCTTAGGGGAGTGTGTCCTGATGTCCGTCACCCCTAATTCTCAACACCCCCGTCTGTCTGATGGAGAAGCTCTTGTGTGTGTGTTCAAAGACTTTGCCCATCAAGCAAATGGAGACCTCTGCGCTGAGTGGGCCTGGGACAGCCTTGTCAGATCGAAGTCCAAGTTCATGGACTCGTCATTGAGAGCAGGCCTTGGACTCCCACGCTGCCTGTCTCTGTGCCCTTTAAGCTCAGGGGCCCAAAGGACCCGGATCTAGGGCCTGTTAGAGCCCGGCCAGGGGTTAGATGTGAAGGCAGACGCCTTTCAGGCCTTCTCACTTCCTTCTCGGCTAGCTGAGCAGGAAGACCACGCTAGGGCTCGAGGGGCTGGCCAGCCAACAGCAAGTTTTGAGATTCCTTGAGTGTTTCATCCCACGAGTGTCTGTGGAGCGGTCCCTCTGGGGCGCCGAGTTTCAGACCAAAACGTGGTCCTGCTCGATGCTCCATCTGCGCGTTCGGGCAGCGGCGCAATGCTCTGGCTTGTGTGCGAGGTCCCCGGACGGGCCTGGCGTGGGTTCCTGGCCTACGTTTCTGGGTTTTCTACAGAGAAACACACCGACTTCTGTCATCCCTTTTCCCGGGCTGGGCTTCGGCGTCTGGTCACGAGTGTTCTCTGCTTCTCAGGAGATGCTCGGGCACGGATCCCGTTCCCACGTCCCCCGCTTGGCACACTGGCCCCCCGCGGGGCAGCTGGCAGAGACTAGGCCCCTGTGCCGGGCAGAAGGCGGCTGCCGGGTGAGGGGCTTTGGGCCTCAACGGCTCAAGCCTGCACTGCTGCTCCGAGAAGCCTCTGCCTGAAGCGAAGCCGGTCGGAGGTGTGACTTCACGCCGACCTTGGCCGGCCCGCATGCCTGGAGGTGGGAGGGGGCGGAAGGCCCCGTGAGGACCGGGGCCGGGCAATGAGCTGTGGCCTGCACGTGGTGGCCCGCGGTCTGAGAAACGGTTCCGCACCAGGCTGGGCGTCAGCAGCACGAGGACGAAGAGCCGCAGTGTGTGTGCGGCGCCTCTCCCGGTGGCGGGAGCTCTCTGCGGGTGCCCACGGGGAAGCAAGAGGGACCCCCCGGCACGGTCTCGCCCTCAGGGGGACGCGTCCTGGGGCTCGGGGTCCCGGTGAGGCCCCGGCCCGCTGCCTCCTTCACTGCAGGGGCTCATTCTCGGGCTTTCTCTCCCAGCGGGTGGTCTGGCGTCCCAGCTGTGAGCGAGCACCCAGGGCCCACCCTGCTGGCCCCACGGCACGCAGGAGACGCCTCCGTGTGGCCTCGCCCCTCCGCACGCAGTGTCCTTACCACCCGACAGTCGATAATATCAGCACCACCATAATTCTTATTAAGGGCTAAATCGGGTTATTTTTATAAAAGCACGTGTCAGTGCTTGGTGAACGGGTAGGTTTTCAATTGTTGGTTAAATCTAAATCAATTCCACTGATAAAGGTCCCTTTGGGAAGAATAAGCAAGCAAGACAGATGTGGAGTTAAGAGTTTTGTTTCTGTCCGTTAGGGCCAGCGGCAGGGGAGGAGCCGGGACAGGCGGGCGAGTGTGCAGGCGAGTGTGCAGGCGTGCACACTCACGCAGGCGTGCACACTCACGCAGGCGCGCCCCGGCCCACGCCCTCACAGGCCAGGGCGCCGACCCCTGGCCGAGAGCATCAGATCCCTCTCCCCTCTCCCTCCTGCCGTCCCTTCCCCGACACGCTCCTCCCAAGCACACGGCGAGTCCCGCTTCCTCCGGAGGCCGGGACGTGCCCCTGCCACGGAGCCCGGGCCTGCGCGTGCCGGTCCCCCCGACCCGGCGGAGCCCACGCAGGA